CGGGGCGGTCGCCGGTCTGGGGGCCGGGGGGCCCGCCTGGCCAGCACGCTTCCCCCGGGCCCTGTCCCGTCCCCAGTCGCTGCCCCTGATCTCCGCCTCGCGCTGGCTGCGGAAGCGGGGTGAGCTCTCGGTGGTGGAGGAGGCCGGCCGCTTCTGGAGGCTGGCCAGCCGGCTGGCCTGCTACCTCTTCCTCTTCAACGACTTCCTGGTGGTCACCAAGAAGAAGAGGTGGGCCGTGGGCGCCCGGAGACCCTGTGGGGGTGGAGAGGGGCCCGGGCACCCCGACTCGGGTGTGGGCACGGCCCCCACCTGGGGCCTGCTGCCCGCGCTGGCCGGCGCCTCCCGCACTCAGCCCGCGGCCCGGCCACTGCCTCCCGCAGCGAGGACAGCTTCGTGGTCCAGGACTACGCCCAGGTGGACGCCGTCCAGGTGCAGAAGGTGGAGCCCTCGGAGTCGGCCCCGCTGGGGGTCAGCCACCGGGGCTCCTCCGTGCCACACCCCTTCCGGGTGACGCTGCTGCACAACAGCGAGGGCCGCCAGGAGACGACCCTGCTGTCCTGTGCCTCCGCGTGAGGGTCGGGGCCCGGGCTGGGGGGCCCCGGGCTGGGGGGCCCTGCGGTCCCGGACTCCGCTGATGGTCGGGGGCCATGTGCACCTTCTGCGGCGCGGGCCGCAGGCCCCAGGGGCGAGCGGGTGGGGCTGGAGGCGCCGCGGTCCGAGGCGCAGGGGCTCGGGGCTGCGCCCCACTCCAGCCGCCGTCCTGCAGGGAAGCCGAGCTTGCGGCCGGCTGAGGGCCGGGGCCGAGGCCCTCCACCGGGAAGTGGGACCCTGGGTTCTGGGGGTTCCGCTACCCCCAGACTCTGACCTGAGCAGAGGCCACTGGGCCCGGTCCGCCTGGGTGGACACTGCCAGAGCCGGGCCCGGGCCGGGGTGTGGGGGGAGCCCTGGGCGGCGCCCACTGAGACGGCCCTGGGCTCCACCAGCCGCACTCGCGGGCTACGAGACGCCTGCACTGACCCAGCGCCCAGGTGGGGGGCACAGGCCGCCAGGCCGGCGCACAGCTCACACGGCTTCACCCCAGGAGCGACCGGGCGCGGTGGATCACAGCCCTCTCGCACGGCCAGAAGCAGGCCCCCGAAAGCAAGGAAGGTGAGCACCCCGCCCGCCCGCCCGGGGGGGCCCGCGAGG